CAATGAAATTATATACGATGGAATGAATGTAAAACTAAAGTTCTCTCATGTAAACTATCATATAATTCACAATAAAACATTAAAAAAAAAAAAAGAGTCTGCCCCAGACATCATCAAATTATCAGTGCCATGTACCTTCCAATTCCCTTGTGACACCCTACTAGTCTGCCCAACGGCAGAAGATAAGAACCATTTAACCATCTCCCTGGTAGCATAGTGGCTACGAGTCAGGCTGCCAACCTCAAGGTCAGCAGTTCGAAACTACCAGCGGTTCCACAGGAGAAAGAAAAGGCGTTCTGCTCCCGTAAAGATTTACAGCCTCGGAAACCCTGCACAGGGTCACTATGAGCCGACTCCACAGTAGTTAACAACGACAACAATCACCTCCCTGGAGACCTCAGCCATTCACAGATGGCCTGCCATTCTAACTCCCAAGCATGCGTTAGGTTTTTGTTCACTTTTACCCAAAGGTTTCCAAAACCCAGAAACACATGACCAAAGCAATTTCTATACCTGTGACTCACCCGGCAGGTGGAGCTGGCACAAACATTGATGGTTAATTTTGGATGAATGGAAGATATGGGCGAATATGGCACTATGTTTTCCCCCTGAGAGGCCATCTGTTGTGGGGGATGATGTGGCCTTGCAAGGTTGACAGTTCAAATCCACCAGCCGCTCCTCAGGAGAAAGATGAGAACTTCTGCTCCAGTAAACATATACAACCCCAGAGCACGGGGTCACAAGGAGTCAGAATTGGCTCAGTGGCAGTGGATGTGTTTGGGTTTTTTTTGTTTTGGGGGTGTTGTTTTTTTGTTTGGGGGAGGTATTGTGCTTCAGGAAACAAGCCCGTTGTCTGCGAGGTGTGGGAGTTGGAAGCTGTGGGTGATGTTTTGTGAAATGCCATTGAGTCCCTTCCAACTCATAGCAAGCCTGTATAGTTTCCAAGGAGCGACTGGTGGGTTTGAACTGCTGACCTTGTGGTTAGCAGTTCAGTGCTTCTCTTACAGCACCACACCAGGACTTAAATCAGGCTCGGGGCTCCAGTGGTGGCCAGTCTGTTGAAACTTGGATAGTTAATATGGGAATAGGGTCAGTGTGAGGGTTAGCAGGCTAAGGATTGGATTGTGGGCACCTTTATGGGTTAGTGTGGTGACGCAGTGGTTAAACATTGGTCTGATCACCAAAAGGTAGCAGTTTGAACCCACCAGCCTCTTTGAGGGGAGAGTTGTGGCAGCCTGCTTCCACAAAGGTTTCAGGCTTCAAAGCCTTATGAAAAGTTCAATTACATCCCACAGGGTTGCTGCGAACTGGAATCGGCTCGATGGCAGTGGGTCAGGCTGAGCTTTTACTGGACGCTAAGGAGCTCTGGTAGCGTAGTGGTTACGAATCGGGCTGCGAACCTTAAGGTCAGCGGTTCGAAACTACCAGCCGCTCCGCGGGAGAAAGATGAGGCTTTCTACTCCAGTAAAGATTTACACCCTCGGAAACCCTGTACAGGGTCGCTATGGGTCGGACCCGACTCGATGGCACTTAACAACAACAACAACAGACTTCATGGACTGACCATGTGAGGAAGTTTGGAGTGGGGTGGCAGGAGACAGCGGGGTCTGGTTTAGATCCCAGATGGTACTGACCACCAAGTCCTGTGTTGGCTTCAGACTGACCCAGGAGGAGACAGACAGCAATTCCAATGAGAGACCTTGGGACAGCTCTCATAGGTCATCAGCAACTCTATCAACATTCCAGAACCTTCCTGGTGCAGCTGGTGATATTGACACTGGACTTGGGTCATTTCTGGGGATGATGAGTGAAGGAGGGTGGAAAGACCAGGGACAGGTTGATGACCCCTGTGTGGTGTGGTGTGCTCAGAGCTAGCCACATGGTTTCCTGCATGTGCCTGGTCAGACACCACCAGAGGGGTTCCAGGGGTGAACTGGAGGTCACGAGTGTGATGGTGCCAGCAAAGCAGGTGCTCCTGCATCACCACGGCCGATCCTGGTGCAGGGAAAAGTCCAAACGCTGACAGCAGTGGACCAACGTTGGAATCTGTGTGACCTTGAGCAAGTGTCCCAGCTTCCTTATCTGCAGAATGCAGTCAGTATTGCGTAGGGCATGCCCCACTGTGGTTACTTGCAGCAGAGGTCTTCAAAACTTGTGAGCGGTCATGTGAGCTACAACTTTTGGGCTCTCTCCATCCAGAGCAAGGACGAGTGAAGAAGATGCATGGGTACAATTAGTCCAAAGGAACCGCAGCCTCCACCACCCTGAGACCAGAAGAACTAGATGGTGGCCGGTTATCACTGCTGCCTGCTCTGAAAGTGGTCACAATAGGAGAAAAATGCAGCATAAAAAGACCAGACCTGCTGGCCTGAGAGAGATGGGTGGGACCCTGGGGACTGTGGCACTTAGATACCTTTAACCCTATAAGTGAACTCACCTCACAGTCACATGATAGACTGCACCCTCTGGATCTAGGCTCCCTCTTGAAAGCTTTGGTCTGCAAGAAGAATCCGGATAGTACCACAGTGGCTGTGCATGGTGAGGAGATCTACTGCATGTCCTGCTATGGCAAGAACTATGGGCCAACAGAGTCAGTGACATAGCCACAGAGGACTAGAGTGGAGAGTGAAGCATCCAGCTGATAATAAGAGAGGGCATATGCATAAGAATACCCACACTTGCAGATAATACCCACTTGACCTGGCTTCAATGACTGGATGATCAGAGCTCAACCAGAAGAAGAAAGAAGAGGGAAAAAAGAGTAATCTGATATATTTTGATGAACTTGACCTACACCTATGGGTGCAGTAGCTCAAAAGAGGGAACAAATCCTTACAGCAAGGATCATTCCCACCCCCTCCATACACAGAGTAGACAGGGATGGGCAACTTGGACATTGGCTACCCACAATGGGTGTAGGGAGAGGGGGCTACAAAGGCAAGAAGTGACTGGCTTACAAGCTTTACAAGAGGGAACCTAGTTTCAGAGGGCTTGAAGGTAGGTAGAATCTCCACTTAGTAGTATATAATCTGTGTAGGCGGGGCTGATGAAATGAAATGTGCATTCATCTCTTGTGATATAATAGTGAATAATTGTTATCAGGACTGCTTGTGAGGGTTGGAAATGTAAAGGTAGATGTTTTGTAGCAAGTAGGGGACTGATTAACTTTTCAGCCTAGGAACGGAGGTCCCTGGGACCATCAAGGGAGAAGAGCAGAGAGCAGGACCCTACCCAGAGAAGCAGTGATGCCTGAGATGGAGGCAGAGATGATGACGTGGAGATATGGAGCTGTTGGGGACTTTAGGTCCAGAGAGGGAGAGGGGCTGTGTGCTGATGACCGGGGGGCAGGCTTGTAGTATATACCCTTTGGTTGGTTGATGATGCCTAGAGGGGGTTGTAACCATAACAATGAAACAATATTAAGATAGGATGAATGTAAAACTGAAGTTTTCCCATGTAAACTATCACATAATTCACAATAAAACATTTTTAAAAAGAAAGAAATATGGGCCAAAAGATTATGGCTATGGACAGGGCGCAGGCACACTGAGCACCAACAAGGGGGAGTCGCTGGGCATCAAGAAAGAAGAGGCCCCAGGCCACAGGCCCACCACCAACCCCAATGCATCCCAGTTTGCCCAGAAAATCAATGGCTCGGAGCTCTGTCACTGTTGCAGCCAGGCTGTCTGTGCTGCTGAGAAGTTCATTGGTGCTGGGAAGTCCTGGCAGAAGTCCTGCTTTCCATGTGCCAAGTGTGGCAAAGGCCTCAAGTCAACCACCCTGGCGGACAAAGATGGCGAGATTTACTGCAAAGGATGCTACACTAAAAACTTTGGGCCCAAAGGCTTTGGCTTTGGGCAAGGAGCTGGGGCCTTGGTCCACTCTGAGTGATATCCCGCTGCCTGCTGTCCCCTGCCCATTCAGAGCTTTGCATCAACAACCCTTTCACAGCTGCCTCGGAGACGTCTAGGATTCTTTCTCCCTTCTCAGTCTTGCTACACATCACTAATGACTTGAACTTAGTCTCTGGTCCCCTTTGGTTGTCTGTGTGCCTGAGGCCTCAGCATCACCAAGGGGCTCCCCCTGCTGGGAATCTGATGACATTACCAGCAGGACACCTCAGTGTTTCTGAGGCCCTCCCCACAGACCTCTGTTCTTAGCCTCCTTTGTGGAGTCATCTCATCACGTGGCTAAAAGGAGCAGCAGTAACAGACCCAGACAGGGAGGAAAACAGGACCAAGATGGGGGAAGGGAAGTGTATATTGATCAAATTCCTGTCATTCTCCTTTGTGAGAAAGAGAGTGGGCTTCTGGGTGTCCCTCAGAACAGGCCTGGGAGGCCCTGCTCAGAAACTCACTAGGGGGAGGGAGAAAGGGAACAGACAGGGTCAGGACCCTTGCCTTAGAATCCATGTGGAACTAGTGACACCCCCCCTTGGGGTTGAGGAGACAGCCTAAATCCAAAGTCCCCACAGTCCAGATGCCATCTGACCTCCCTACACATCTAGTTTCATTAACAGTCCTTAATGAAATGCCTGCAACACACCACACCATTGGACAAACAGATCCGACCCTAAGTGTGCATTGGGTAGCTCCTCTCCATCCCATATCACAGCCCAGGCCAGTGTTCCATTTCTACTATGTCTGCTTGTCACTGGGATGGGGAGGGCACAGCCTCATCTTCATCTGAATACCCCTTCTCTCAGTGCCTAGTCCTCAGGGCCTTCCTGCCTCTTCCACTCCACCCATCTCCAGGGACCCTGCTTCGTCCACACATCCCCCTCATCCCTTCCAGGCCCCAGTGCAGGAGAAACAGGAAGAAGACAGAGGAGCTGGACTTGCAGCTCCCGGTGACTGAGTGGACGACACTATTTGGAGCTGTCTACTGAAAGACTGTTGGCAGGGTCTGTATTCAAGCTGACTTTTCATCCAGTCAATAAAGCTGTTCAGGAAAAAAAAAAAAAAACTCACAAAAAAACAACCATACAATACTTCAGAAGACAGTAAGAAGACAACATGGGCAAACGGACGTGTGGAACCCAGGAAGGAAGTGGGAAGGGTTTTGTCCCATTGAGGGGACTGCAACTGATGCCACAAAACAAAATATGTAAACATTGTTGGTTGGAAAGCTAATTTTCTCTGTACACTTTCACCCAAACCACAATAAAATGTTAACATACCCACAAGGTTAAGTCAGAAAGTATTGTTACAAAATCCAGAAGCTTTCATTAAAGAAAACCTATCAAAATGTGAAAGGAGCTGGAGCTGGTAGCGTAGTGGTTACGAATCAGGCTGCAAACCTCACAGTCAACAGTTCAAAACTACCAGCTGTTCCACGGGAGAAAGATGAGGCTTTCTGCTCCTGTAAAGATTTACAGCCTCAGAAACCCTGTGCAAGGTCGCTATGAGTCGGAACCGACTCCACGGCACACCACCACAACCTGAAGATTTTGTTTCTCAGCATACCCTCCACCTAGGTCTACATACTTCTGAAGGTTGTTTCCATTTCTCTAACTCTTCCCCCAAAGAATTCTGCACACTTTGATCTACACCACATCAAAACGACACTTTGGGTCTCCTTGGTGGACTCAAATCATGTGCCTTTAAGTATTCTTTAGGTTTGGGGAGCAAAAGGAAATCTGAAGGGGCAGGATCAGGGCTGCCAGGTAGATGGGGTCAGGCCCCAGTGAACCTTTCATGGAACAGCCCTCACTACCCTTAGTGAATGAGCAGGTGAATTTTCCTCATGAAAAAATATTCCTCAGCACAACGTTCCTGGCCTTTTTCTCATCGATGCAATTTCCCTTTTTCTTAAAACTTCTTCCTAATAAGCCCCTATGATCATCCTGTGTCCTTTGAGAAAATCTATGGAATCCCTAAAACAGTTGCCTGAGTCCTTCTGTGACTTGGACTGGACCATGTTCGAAGGCACCCTGATAAGACTAGGACAAGTGCATTACTGAGAGAACTTGTCTGCAGCCATCCGCTGATCACTGTTGTTGTTAATGCTGTCATGTCGGTTCCGACTCACGGTGATCCTGGATAGGGTTTCTGAGGAGTGGCTGGTGAATCTGAACTACCAACTTTGTGGTTCAAACCCAACTTATGGTCCAGTGCATTATCCTGCGGTGCCATACAATATGTTTAAACATGTTTTGTTTAAACCTACACATGTATGAACTCAAACCCTGGTAGCAATACTTTTTGACTTGTTAGGTGTTGTTTAGTTCCAATTCATAACAGTCCTGCTATACACAGCAGACCAGACACCGCCCAGTCCTGCATCACCCTCACAATAGTTGTTACGTTTGAGCGATTTTGATGTCACAATGTCAAGAATCCTGTTAAAGGGTTCTTATTTTCTCTGACCTTTAGCTTTACCCAGCATGGTGTCCTCCAGGGACTGGTCACTCCTAACAACATGTCCAAAGAACAATAGACAAAGATTGAAATTTTCAAACACTTCATTTTGCTCATAAGCACTCATGAAGCAATAGTTAAGATATCAAACTTACATGGGGCAAGTCTGCTGCACAAGACCTCTTTTGTGTTTTCAGGAACAAAGATGTCAGTTAAGGACTAAGGTATGACTGACCCAGGCCATTGTATTTTCAATAGCCTCATATGCATGTGAAAGTTGGACGGTGAATAAGGAAGATCGTAGAAGAACTGATGCATTTGCGTTATGGTGTTGGAGGAGAATATTCAAAGTAACATGGACTACTGAAAAAACAAACCAATCTGTGTTGGAAGAAGTGCAGCCAGCGTGCTCCTTGGAAGCCAGGATGGTGAAACTTTGTCTCTCCTACTTCAGACATTTTATCAGGAGTGACCAGTCCCTGGAGAAAGACATCATGCTTGGTAAAGTGGAGGGTCATCGAAAAATAGGAAGACTCGACAAGATGGCAGCAGCAGTGGGCTCAAATGTAGCAATGATTGTGAGGTTTTGGTCTATTGTGCATAGGATCATCATGAGTCTGAGTCAGTACCAACTCAGCAGCACCTAACAGTAACAACCACAACCTCTCCGAAAGGGATCACAACAGGAGGTCCCTGGACAGAGTGGGAGAAAAATGTGGAACAAGATTCAAAACCATAAAAAACAAGACTGGTAGAACCCCGAGATGGTGGTCTTTGTCACCCTTCAAGTATGGATCTGAAATCACCCTCCTGACTCAGCTTTCAGAGAAGGATGGCAGGCCTGTGATGTGAAGAGTGACACCAAAGATCAAAGGGGCATGAACAAAATGAAATAACCATATTAAATATCTATGCTCCCAATGAAAGAGCACCAAAATATCTAAAACAAACTCTAGCAGATTTGAAGAAAGAAATAGATGAATCTACAATAATAGTGGGAGACTTTAATACACCACTCTCAAAAATGGATAGAACAACCAGAAA